CCCCCTCCCCGAGGGGGCGGCCAAAAGCTGGGTTTCCTCTGTGGGAGCAGGAGAGCCTAAGCAACGCTTTGCTGCAGCAAGGATCCTGGCGCTTCTTATGCCGTTGTCGAGAAAGTGCTAGAAATGCTCGGGGCTGAGCTTCCCCAGCATCCGTGTCCCTCCCCGCTCCAGAGGCTTCAGTAATGCTGCCTTCCATAATCTTTGTTACTTTATATTCTAGGGGGATCATATTCCACATGCACCTACAATTCAGGTTTAGGCTACTGATGGGTGATGCAGGCCAGTGGGCTACAGGCAAACGTTTCCCCCCAGCAGAAGGGCCAGGCAGAGGCTGCTGCTGCAGACCCACAGTAATACCGCTGGCCTTGGTGTTACATCCGGGCAAATGGCATTGCCAGCGGGGTTTGGCTGCTGCCACATTGCTAACAGCACGGGAAGCCACACGTTTCTGCATGAACACCAGCCAAGCACCAGACCTTTGTTTATCTTGAAAGCATTTATCTGCATTTGTATGCCTAAAAGGTCACAAAACCTTAGACCTAGCAGTATGTGTATTGTATAAAGTATGTGATAGTTTTAATACTCAACATAATCATTAGATACTCTTTTTTTTTATTTTAACAGTATTATGAAACTGTCATGAAATATGTCTGTCAGCTGATTGCATCTCTGCAGTTTGAATCAACAGATTCCTGGCTTCATGTTCAAGTAGACCAACTGCCCAACAAAGTTAATTTAAAAAATATTGGGCTTTTAATCTTTTATTCAAGATTTGACAGCTTCACCATTCAATGTCTTTGGACTACAATACCTCTTTCTGAACAAGGAAGCAAAACCAACCTATCTGAAATATTAGAAATAGCTGGAATTCAAGCAGCCTTTCAGATTTTGCTGGTAAGCAGTCAGCAATGTGAATTATGCAAAATAATCAAGAGATGCTTCACAGTTATCTTTCAAAACCAAGGCAAACACTGAATAAAAGAATGTAATCAATTGAATGTTTGCAATCTGTTACTTGGATGACTTTCTGTGTCTTCCTGCCCTGTTTCAGAATGATTTGGACCCCAGTGCAGCAAAATTTCTAAGCACATGCGTAATTTCAGGCAAAATTAAATTATCTTTAGATCTACTGCATTATAAGGTAGTGGAGGACCATTTACATCCTCCCCAGTGGAGGACCAGTTGCACACCTGTCTATTTGAACTCGGACCTTAGACTGAAAGACAGGGAGAACTTTAAGGTTTAAGCCCCTGAAATGGAAGGTGAGGTTGTAAACTTTTCTTTAGAAAATAATTTTCCTATTCCCCCACCAGAATCTAACCCCTGAGCCAGTCCAAGTCCCTGTCTTCATCTGCACTATCTACACCTCCGTAGCAAATACCTCACCTCTGCAGGTAAGACCCTCAGACCTGGACCTTTTCTCCTTTTCCTATAATATGACTCGCTTCCCAATAGGAGGACCCAAACAAAAGCCATTCTTGGAAATCTCCTTAATCCCCTGCTCCCTTCCTCCCAAGCAAGCACCCTGTGACCTTAACCTGGCTGCTGATGCCTGGGGCTAGGTGCAGCAAGATGCACACGTGTACGGTGGTGCGCACGGTGGTGCTGTGCATCAGTGCCTCCCATGGGAACCTCTTAGCGCCTGTCAGTGCTTTCCTGGTAACTGCCCCTTTGCAGGCTCTTGCCATACAATGTGTTCAAGGTTTTCGAAATTACTTGAAAGAGACTATAAGTACCTCTGCTGGGCTGGGGGGTAAAAGCCTGCCTGAAGTCAGTTTTTACAGGTTAGTTATATCATAGTAGTTTGCTGAAGAGAGGTTGACCTATTTAGAAATGAAGAGTCCTCAAAGAGTTGCTTAGATTACTTATGCCTAAGGCCAGCCCTGACATAAGTCATAGTGTCACTTAGGTGGTATTCATCCATCTACCATAGGGACATTTAGGCTCCCTTCATAACCAGTAGTGAGAAGAAGAAATCTGAGAGCATGAGTCAGCGGTCCAGATGGAGATGTCAACTTTAGGCTGAGATGAACTGTGTTCTAGAAACACTAGTTTCTCTCCAATGACTGTAAGGGGAGCCTACAGGACCCAACTCAGGTGTAGAGGTCTACAGTGGGATGTAGACCTGTGTTTCGTTGGATGACTTCAATGCTAACTGCCTGGAGATGAAAAAAGAATACATATTTTCACTTTGCAACTTAACCATATTTGAAGTTATGATTGAAGTATACATTATGACATATGGTAAGGACAGACTTTATTTTTTGTTTTGGAAATTTTCAATAGTCTTATTAGGGTTTTCTGTAGGACTGCCATAAGCCTGGTGAGGCAAGCGATGGTTTGCAAGGACTACACGTTCATAGCTTACTGGAAGCATGACAGGCTTTTAGCCTGTTAGATATTTGGCTGTGAAACAAGACAATTTCCTACCATTTACTAGACTGCAGTACTTGTATGTAGCAAGTAACTGGAAAGCTAATATATCATAGTCTTCATTTTCCACTATTAATGTTTTCCATGTTAGTATATCTACACATACCTATGCTTGCACCATTTAAAGGACAGATGTAAGGGAATTGCTCCCAGCTGCATTTGTATGTAAGTTCCAGCAAGTGGATACATTATATTCTTTATACCACCGCTATACCACTATGTATATGTAGCTTTTCAAAATGAAAATGTTGGGATTAGGTGAAGAAGGCAAAATCCAATGTCATAAGATACCAAACAGAAAACATGACAAATGTATCTGAAGCCATTCGAGTGACAGTGGGCATCAGGGTTCTGCATAAGATCATCACATCCCCCCTTTTCTTCTGGCAAACTGCCTGTCACAGCAATAGTTCCTGCTTTCCTGGGCTGTACCCCAGCCTTCACTTCAAACGTCAGAGGTATCAAGAAGGTAAGCATAAATGACTCCTATTATAGCTTGGCTTGAGTCCATGAAGGCTTTGAGCAGGAAAAGAGGTGTGTGCCTACATTTCTGAATTGCAGATAGGTTAATTTAAATACTGCTGTGAAGACTCTCAATGACTGCAGCCCAGCACTGTGGGGTAATGCAATTGCTCAGCAGCACCTGACTGTAGACAGCTGCTCTCCAAGTCGATAAGCCAGGAGCTCTGGAGTGGAAGGTCTGCAAGGTGGCAATTGTAACAGGGGGAGTCAGACCAGGAACTGAAATAAATTTGAAGCAGCTCAGAGCTGAGCTGGGAGTAAGGGGAAAAAAAAGAACAATCTTTTGTGGGCTCCTGAGGTTGGAAAAGTACGTTCTTCTCTCCCCTTCTGTGCAAGGAGGGGATGTATTGGCCGGGAGATGGCTAAGGACTACTGGGGTGGAGAGATGCTGAAGGATGTGAACTCCAGCTCTAACTTAGGATGAAGCTCAGGTGGAGAAGGGTGACACTGAAGCTATGCAGATGAAAGGGTTAGGCTGATGAAATGGGCTGCTTCTGCCAAGGACTACCTCTGTGTGTATTGAGTGCCAGCAATGACTCTGCAACTGCTGTGAACTGCAGCCAAGTCCTCCAGCACATAAAAACAAGCCCTACCGAATGCAACTGCTCTTATGGAAATGTGTAGGTGGAGGTGTTCCCTGAAGTGCTAAAACGTAGTTCTAGAAGTCTGTCCTGAGAGTCTCAGTTCTGAAAAGTGTGGCCTTTGTTTTCCTGAAGTCAGATTTGTCTGGCAGGATACTGAAGCTTCTTCACCTTGTTCTTCTGCAAAATCATGTCCAGCATATGGTGATGGTGTCTATCAAAGACACAGCAATGGTATGCTCTATTTCACAGTAAAAGTAGGACAAACAAAGAGCAACTCCTTTCTCTTTCCACTGAGAAAGGCAGGAGGGACATAACTGTTGACAAGAATATCTTTGTTTCCAACCACAAGTTTTTACCTCATAGGCAAGCTTGCAGAGCTTGTCTCAATGGAAGGGGAAGACAGTATATTGCAATCTGGGCAATCTGTATGTGTCTTATTTTCCTCACATTTCCTTTATGTGACCTTAGCAAGCGACCCTTTTTCCTCTATAAGAAAGAACAATCCA